GGGTATGAAAACCCTAACCAGGAAACTGGGTCACATAGGCCCCGTTAGGCTCCCTGGCTGAGGACCTCGGGAAGATGGTCACCGATGGTTAGCTACACAGTGATATGGCTGGGTGTCGCAAACAGTGGCGCTCGTGCATCCAGTCGTTATTCTCCCAACACCACTCTACATGAATTCCCCACCTTCCGCTTGAATTTGCTTCTACATTTCAATCTTCATTTTGCTTTTTATCCAAATGGGCAACTAGAACCGGCGCACGAAAGTGCATGGTTATTGGTTTTAAAAACTTAAACTGAAAACTGTAGTCCATCACTCCCCGCTGATTTGCCAGATTTTACCTCACTGAGCATCTTCAGAACTTGAGCTCTACCTACCTGTAGATCGCTCATTGGAGGAGTTCCTACCTGTGGGAAATGTGAGGAGCAACTGCGTCCATCATCCACTTTATAGACGCTTTCAAAAAACGCTTTGAATTTCTCGCACTTCTCTGCCTCGGACGACACTTCTTCCCCTGCGTGGTTTCGTAGGACCAAAACCGATTGCCTTAGGGCAGCCTTCGATTGTGCGTACGCGTAAAACCTTTTGGAATTGGTTTCAGCTTGCTGAGCGATCCTCAATTCATGTTTCATTTTAGCTTGTTTGCGTAATTTCGGGCCATTTTGTAGGCCAACCACCTGTGCTGCCCTCCAAAGTTTGTATACTCCCTCCATTTACGTCCCCTGAAAGTTATCGCCCCCTTTATGGGAGTTGTGCACCATGCATGGCCTTGGGAATTCCTCTTCGGTTGCAATGGCGCGTACCTGTCAGTGAGCTCTACTAGGCGTTCCCAAAGTACGCCCCATTCCTCCTCGACAGATGCATCCTGGTTAGGAGGGGGGACTTCCTGATTTATGTACGTCCTAAAAGTGGTTACAATATGATCACCCTTGCCCAGCGGGACTTCCATAGTCGAACATGTTGATAAAGTGCTTGCTCGTGAAAAAACCTTAGGAAATCCTCTTCAAAGGGACTATCTCCCGCGTCAGCGTATTCCCAATCGATTTCGGGCAAGTTAAAACCACCGATTATGATTATCGTCGTTTTTTCTAAGTAACGTGCTTATTGTGCTTATCAGCTGTCTGTTCTCTTCTGATCTAGTCGATGGTGCTTTGTAGACTTCAAGGATGACGACGCGTCGTCTTCGGTTCCAAAGTGCATCCCATTGCTTGCACAGTTTCCCACTGAGCATATTGATTCTTTACGAGAATCAACATTCCGCCTGTTTTACCTACCTCCCTGTCTGTCGTATACACAGCCAAGTCCGGGGGGATGAGCTTCTTGGCGACAATCATGTTTCGATCAGAATAACTACGTCATAATTTGGGCATCTGGTTTTCAGTTCATCCCACTTATTTCCAACACTGCAGACGTTTGTATACCACGTTTTTAAATTTTTTTGCCGCAGTGCTGGGGTCTCTGTGTTTAGGCCATTTCCTTTATGAGTTCCCTCGGGTGTAGCACCCGAGTGCCCGGAACGTTTTTTCCTGGGGTATTTACTCCCAAACTGGTTTCTTTTCTGTGCGGTTTTGGCTGAGCCATCCTGTCGATGACCGTTTCCTCACAGTCCAATTCCGTTGCATTCATATCCGGTTGAACGGAGGCATCGTTTAGCAACAACAAAGCTGCTCCCCGCGGCTTTATTATATCATCCCTTGGTCTCTTATTTTCGGGGGTTTGCGTACACCTTGATGTGGAGACAGGGGCCATAGTTATAGTCATATCTACAACCGAAATCTCCTTTAGCGGCGTTGTTTTTACCCCCGGCCGTTTTTTGTTCGCTCCTGGTTTACCCCGGTGATGTTTGATCTGCTGTTTATCCCCCCCCCTACTACAGGGTAATGGTGTTACAGGTAGTGGGTTCGGTTGTCGAAGCTGTTGCTTGAACTTCATTTTCGGCGCTCTCGGTTGCATTTTTCCATCTACCGCGTGATGACCGGGGCTGATGGGCTCGACATTCTGAGGGCTGCTTCTGTGTGGAGCAGATGCAACGACCTCAGCATAACTCGGTGCTCGCTGCCCACCTTGTAGTTTTTGAACCTTTGCCAAGGCGCGGGTTCGAACACCTTGTGGGCCGCTCTTTATAGGTGCCCCTTTTCCTAGTTGCGGCTGATCCACCAGGGGTCGCTTAGTCATGCGATTTATGTTGTCTGGTACTATTCGGTATCTACCCCCAGAAGCTCGCTCTACCCTTTCACTACTGCATGGTAGCAATACCTAATATCGGGATTTCCGAACTGGACTAGAATGGCGCTAGCAACCCTGGCACCGGGTGAGCATTCTTCTAGCGATCTCCCAATCCTTTGTACTCTAATTGAGCGCATACAGCAGTTTTCAGGATATCCCGGACTCTTCTACCGTCGATATCCACCCGAACTTCCGCGTCTCTTAAGACCGGTTCCTCGTGCTTCATATTTATATTTCGGTCCGTCGTCAGCTCTTTTGCGCGTTTCAAATCAGACACTTCGTTCTCGAGGTTAGAAACCCTTTGCTCTATGCGTTTGATCGATTGCTTCTAGTTGAGTGTTGTGGTCTCGGTTGGCGGTGGTGCTAAACTCGGGCGTCTTATTAGTGCGTTTACGAGTTGTTCTCTGCCATGGCTACGCACAGGTAACCGTTTGGTGAATAAGTCTCGCAACGAATGACAGTCTACAAGCAAACGCCGAATGAAAATACGTATTGCCTTGCTGTATATTTTTCGACATTGTAGCTTTGATAATACACTGGGGAATGATAGCGATTTGGCGGAAGTTACAGAATGTTGAGAATAAATAAAAAATCAAATGCATGGGAAGATAAACTGATCACAATGCGGCTCATTCAAGAGCGGAATACATGAGGATTTGTTTGAGAACCTTTGTCTGACTTGTTTCTCGGATTTCGCCAGCAAGAAACATTTCATCAACAACACTATATACTTTATAAAAATTGAACACTAAATCAAGTTCGCAGACATTATGAAACAACTCGTTAAGAACCTCAACGAAATTGTGTATAGCTTCCAGGTACATCAGACTATTGTCCATAACATCGATGCACACACAAAAGTACAATCCGGCATAACGTCGATAGACTACTTTGTAATTGCGAAATTCCACGAAGTTCGTATGCTTAGCATCACGAACAGTAACCAGCGCATGGACTTCTTCAATTAACTTCTGTTTCTCTTCATCCTCGAAATGCATGTACCATTTTGCTAGTCGTGTTTTTCCAGCTCGATTTTGGATAAGTATAAAACGTATCATATCCAGGAGGGGAAAAGCGCGTAACGAAACCGATGAACAACGCGCGTGA